TAATAAAAAATCAAATCTTGAATTTTTAATTATCCGTCCGCAACCGTAAACGCTAAAAAAATGCAATTTTTGATTTTAAGAGATTTGAAACGACACGGAGCGGTATAAAATATTTCTCATGATTGTGGTCAAACGCCAACAACCGCTACCACCCACAAACGCAGCGTTTGCAGGTAATAGCAGGAGAACCAATCAACCTCTGAATGGTTTTTGAAATGTTTAAGTGGAGTTTTATAGTTAAAAGAACAAAAATCCTTAAAATTTTAGATTGAATACCATCGCTTTATTAGATAAATAAAAGGCCATATAATGAATACCATCGCTTCATTCAGAACAGCCGTGAGATCCACACGCTAATCTTTTTCTTTCCCAAGGCGACAACAACAAGCTTCACGTCCGTTCGACTTTGAGGCCTTCTCTGGCATCCGACGCTTCTCGCCGATGTCGCGAGAGGGTCTCCGCTTTCAGTTTCTTTCTTCGGTTGTAGTTGTGTTTCGTCGTTGGCTTAGCAGATCTGTTATTCTCGATGGTTGAAGAAGGGAGTGCTTTGTTCTGCATCATATTGGGGTCTCCGACTCCGGTGGAATTTTGGCGATGGCATGAAGATGGGTCGGCCTTCGGTGTGGTTTGTGTACGTCGCTTTGGTCGGTTCTGCGATTCGGAGGCGTTTTAGCTCGCTTTGGTCAGATCTTCTCAGAATTGCCTAGGGTTTATTGGTTTCTACTGGTTTTGGTGTCCCTTTTATAACTAGGTCTTGCCTTCCTTGTTCAGTTTTTGCCATCGGTATGACTAGTGTTTAAGGGTTCGGGTGTTTTGGTCTGGTTTTTGTGATTAGTGTAGTCGAGCATGTGTGATTCTTTTAGCCTTTCCTCTCTGTTTGGTCGTTGGCTCTTCCTTGGTGAAAGTGGCTTGGAACTGTTGGCGTTTTGGTTGGCTTCTCTTTGGTGATGAAGATTCATTTTGGGCAAATTTCCCCTCCCATCGGACTCGTTTCCTTTGTACCGGTTTTTCCAACTCTTTTTCATCGGGATGCATTTCTTCAGCGTGCCCTAGATGGTCAACTCTTCTAGATGATGTCATTGAGTAGTAATGGGTAGAGTATCAGTGAAGAAGAGTCGGTGCGCTTTGGAGCCTCGTGTCTTCAAGATGGTGTAATCTTCATCCTATTTCTATAGTTAGTTGTCTTCCGAGGTTGGTTCTTCCCTTAGCCTCAGGCCTTGTTGGTTGTGTGGCTCAAGGTTCCGCAGCTTGCTCCATTTTCCTCCCAGTTTGTTGTCGTTGGTTTGAGCAAGAGTCCTGAGTAAGTTTGTAGAGTTGGCTTGGCTATTTAGAATTGCTATGTTTGGTTTTTAGCACTTTTTTGCAGGCAATCAAACCCTTTATTTAGTAGTAGTTTTGTTTTAATCTTAATAAGTTCCCCGTAAAACTTCCGGGCTACGCTTCCGGGTAATCTTTCGGGCTACGTTCTCGGGTAAACTTTCGGGCTTTGTTTTTGTTGTTTTCATCTGTAATGTTATCTTTCTATATAATATTATTCAGTGAAAAAAAAATGAATAAATAGTCTGTTTAACCCATACGTGTGAACTCTAGTTTTGGTCTTAGACCCTCTCACACGTGCAATCTGTTTCCAATTGTGCTTTCGTTTGACCATTGACTAATTTACCCGCCAACCACCCGAGTCATCCGACGTGTCAATCCTTGGCCTCCACCCACCCACCGAACCAAACAATCTCTCCTTTACACAAAACTTGAGAAAAAGTCATCTTTTTTCTTCTCCTCATCATACCTGAGTCCAAATTACACAGAGAAGAGAGAGATCAGAGAAACAAAAGTCAAAACGATGCCGTACTGCGACGGAGCACGACGGTCCGAACACAGCGCTTAACAATGCCGTCGTCAAGATCTTCTACAGAACGTACGGTCACGTCCGACCAAAGCTCTTCTCATCATAGGTTAATGTTTAGGAGAGCCTCTACTTTTTTTGGGGGTTTTGGTTTAACGGGCATTCTTTGATTTGGATACACATTATTCAAAGGTGGTTATTTTTTCTTCAATGGGTTCTATTTGGCAAAATCTGATAGACTATTTCTCTATGCACGATTACCTTGAATAAATTATAGGAAGCAACACAAGACGGGAAATATTATATCAGCTACTGACCGGGTCTAATATATAATGTGAACAAGTAATGAAATGATAATGAGTGTCTAATATCTTGTGTGATTTTCATATGGAATGCTAGCAATATGTAAAAGGGATATTAGCAACAAGAATGCAGTCCAATTATGGTTTTGATGGCCAAGTT